ATAAATTTAAAATTGAATAACAATAATTATTTTAAAACAAAAAAATATAATACCGCAAACATAATGGAGGAAGGTTTTACCTGCAAAAACGCCTTGCATAGAAGAGTATGACTTTGCAATCACATCAATATGCAAACTAGCTAATAGATTAGGCGGGTTGTGTTGTGGATACAAAAAACAATAATTAAAGAACAAGGACATAAAGAAGGCATATGGGGAGAAAAAGAAGAATAGATATTCGACCCAATTAGATTACGTCAAACACAAGGTTCAGAGTTTTCCACATCTCAGTTTAGGGAAGTGGCTATGCTATGAATTTTTTTTTTTTTTTGGAATAAATTGAAAATATTTATATATATTAATTGAAGAAAAGAAAAAGGAATTCTGTGAAATGAAAAAGAAATTTTGTGAAATTTGAATATGTTATCCATAAAAAATAGATAATTTTAATTTAAAATCTATGTTATTGGATCAAAACAGATTATTCATACTATGAATTTTTTTAAAAGATTAAAAAATAAAAAAACTTTTAATTGCAGTTGTAAGGAAGCATTATGAACTTAGCCTACGGTAATGCCTTGCATAGAAAAGCATGGCTTTGCAATCACATCAATATGCAAACTAGCTAATAGATTAGGCGTGTTATGTCATGGATACAAAAAACAATAATTAAAGAGCAAGGACATAAAGAAGGCATATAGGGAGAAAAAGAAGAATAGATGTTCGATCCAACTAAATTATGTCGAACACAAAGCCTAAAGTTTTCCACATCTCAGTTTAGGGAAAAAGTGGCTATGCTATGAATTTTTTTAAAAGATTAAAATATTAAAAAACCAACGATTGCAGTTAGAAATCAATATTGTGAACTTAGCCTACGGTAATGCCTTGTATAGAAGAGCATGGCTTTGCAATCACATCAATATGCAAACTAGCTAATAGATTAGGCGGGTTACGTATGGATACAAAAAACAATAATTAAAGAAGAAGGACATGGAGAAGGCATACGGGAGAAAAAGAAGAATAGATGTTCGATCCAACTAGATTATGTCGAACGCAAGGCCAAAGTTCTCCGCATCTCAGTTTAGGGAAGTGGCTATGGCCTTTCATAACAACCTTAAGATCACACAAATTTTATTTGGTTTAATTAATATTTTATTAATTTATAATTTTTTAAATAATTAATTATGATTTTTAAATATATTAATTTATAAATTAATTTTAATTTATTAAATAATATTAGTTATTTTATAAATTATATTATTTATTTTTAATAATTAAATGAAATAAATTGATATTTTTAAAAATAATATTGCATAACCTTAATATTTCTATAGGTGACCATAATCACATCTCTTAGTTTGGGGTCTTAATTAATCTTATTGATCCTGTGCACATATGTGTGTGTTTCTTTGTTTCTTTTCTTTTCCTTTTTTTTTTTTTTTATTTCTATGTCTGTTGTTAAATATATATATACATATATTTTTTCCCACAATTATTATATAAAGGTGATGTAGATTAGTTGTTTTACTTTATACTTTAAAAGATGTTAATTAATATTATTCCAATTTTACCATTGTCTAGGAAATAGAGATTTTTTTTTCCTTTAATTGTTATTTAGGGTTAAAATGAAAAAATAAGTATAAATTATTATACTAAATGAAGTTTCTGATAATTGTAAATGGATAAAGTATTAAGATTGTATTAAACCAAAGGGAGTATATTGAATAGTTAATCCCACATGGTTTGGAATATATTACATAATACAATTGTTGAGGAAGAATTAATTTCGTAATACATATAAGTTAACTTTAAATTCCAATATATTCTAATCATTCAAATTGAAAAAGACTATAGAATGTGACACTTCATACTCTAATTAATCTATGTCAAGAAAAAACCTATAATTATAAGTGGTATATAAATGTTGGAACTAATTACTACTAATAATCCAAACTTAGAATGTTTGATACCTTGACCTCATTGTCTTAAATGTTAAAGGCACATAATACAATACTCCTTTAAAATTAAGAGTAAAATTGTGGCTAGCAAATTGAATAGTTTAGTTATAATATTTTTCTAATAAAAATAAAAAAAATAAATTTAAATCTCATAATATGCAAATAAAATAGATTAAAGCATAAATAAATTATCTCCAATTATATAGATTAAAATTAAGAAAACAATATTAAATATGAAATTAAGACAAAAAAAAGTAAATATAATATTCTAAATACTAATAATTGTGTTGACCATAAATTAATTACATTATATTTTCTAACCGAACAAAGGCAGACAAAAAGAAACAGATTACCATTAAAAAAGGAAAAAGTCGACGGATCTCCCATTTTATTGCAAATATTGAGCGGAATTTGTCTTTTTGGTGAATCTTTTAAAAGGAGATGATGCTTTGGATGATGAATTAAAAATTCAAAATTGCACGCACTTAGTCCAATATATTACATACCTTAAGAAACTTGCATCTCTAACTTTAAGTGCTAGATTCAAAGTTCTCTTCCTTCAAATTTAAATCTATTAAAAAAAAAATTCAAAGCTGCAGTGCTGCTAACTATAACTATAGCCTCAACTGGTGAAAACCCTTCTTAAACCCCCAAACTTACCCTAAAGTAGCATTTAAGGCCTTAAACTAAAAATGAAATAGATTAATCCTCCAATGCCACTAATAATGAAAATAAGTCCTTTTCACAAAATGATCAAACAGTATTTCATATTTAATATCATCTTAAAAGCATGAACACCCACGAATGAGAAGAACTTATTTGCATTATTAGTGAAGTTAGAGGATTTATCTATTTCGTTTTTAGTATAAGAGTTTAAATACTATTTTGGGGAAAGTTTGGGGGTTTAAGAAGGGTTTTTCTCGCCTCAATTTTAAAGGAATCATTCTAATTATAAATATTCTTGGGAGATTTTCCATGTTTTAATTTTCAAAGGAATTATTCATCAATCAATATCTATGTCGCACCAAGAATAATATAGGTTTAAAGCATGCGAAAGTAAAAAGAGATGATTGAAAAAAGGGAAAATGATAGGCTTATCCAATTTATCTACACCCTTTGTTACACACACTTCAATTTCCGTT